TGAGTGGTCGAAAGACTAGAAAGATGCTATACAAGTACAGGTCCATTTACCATTTGAATTTCCTTTACAGCACTTAAAGTACTAGCAGAGCTAAGGACAAATCCACTGACATTTGTCTTTTTTTCACACATTTTTTAGTCCTCAAATAAGATTTATTTATTTTGACCAAACCAGAGTCGGTTATTGCTCGAACGTTGGAAAGATTAATTTGTCCACTTTCTGTCTCTTATGATGTTACGATGATCTGCAAGGTAAAATTACCATTTTTGTCTATGGAATCTTGTGACAAGCAACAACTATTATAGGGCTGTTTCCTGGCTGGATACTTTCCATAATGTTGTCAGACACTTACAATAACAATGTTAGTCTGTCAGTGGCAGAAAAAACTGCAACAGCATTAATCAGGTCTCAACCTATCCCTGTCAGCTGTGCTCAGGTTCTTTTCCTTTGATAGATACCAGAGCCCAAATATCCAGATTTGAGCAAACCTATAGAAACATATGGCAGACAACCACTGCGTTTTTCTACAGTCTATATAATTATCTGGATGTCAGATGTTGGAATGTTAACAGACGGTGAAAAACAAGAATTTCTCACTCACCAAAAGTTCCATAGAAGCCTCTTGGACCACATGTGCCCACACCATATTTCTTCAGTGATGCCAGAGCTTTTTCCTGCAATGAGAAGAAGAAAAGTTTTGATCATACACAAATACTTTTTGCTCATTGGCAATATGTAAAAAGGAGGAAACACTTTAAAAAAAACCTAAAACTGCAGGTAGTAATGGCCTAAATAACAAATACTGACCTTAACCCGCTCATTGTCGAGGAGACCCAGGAAGTTGAAGGATGCAAAGTTAATGCACTCTTTTCCATTGATTATGATTTTATGGCTGGGAGGTCTGTAATAGAAAACAGTGTGTTTAAATACTTATCTTACTGTAATACATATGATTTTACACATTTCGTTGCCTAGTACCTGTACTTGTGCAATTACAATAATGTTGAATCTAATCTAATCTAATCTAATCTAAAAGCTATCAGATGTAACTAGCTAGCTATTCATTTTAAAACTTTTTAGTCCAGGTATTATAACTGTGAGCTGACTGTGAGCACACCTGAATGAACCCACAATGTCTTGTGGACATTTAGCTTCAGCCAATATTTAAAAAGGAGCTAGTAAAGCAGAGGGGTGTCCTGTGTGTTTTACCCTGTGACAACATCATAGTTGAGGGAGGGATGGTCTTTGGAAACAGGAGGAACCAGAGGCTCTGGCTGCCACTCCTCAATCAGGTCCTCCTTCTCCTGTAACACGGGACGGACCACATGACAGCTGTTTGGTGGGTGACACACACACACACACTGTTTGTTTTTCACTGTGCTGTGCTGAGTTTACCTTCTCTGTCAGTTTATAGGTCTCATGGAGTTTGTAGGTCTTAGAGAACAGAAGTCTGATGATCCACAGTATGAGGATCCCCTCCAGAATCAGGTGATAAGCAGGAGCCTGAGGAAGACAGGGACATGAAGATTATTTTGGTTAACTGTATTATGAAATAAAGTTCTTCTCACACAATCAGGGTTCCCAAAAGTCCTGGAAAATCTTAATATTTAGAGACTATGTTTCCAGTCATGGAAACACCTGGAATTTGGTTAAAATTACCAAATATTCTGGAAATAATCTATGTTGTCCTGGAAATATTTAACACATGTTGTTGGAAACTTGACTGTTGGTAGGATAACCTGCATGGTATGACACTTAAAACCAGGTGTACCAGATGTGGAACTTGCAGCAATCCATCAAGTCTATTTTTTCCAGAGCCACAAGCAGAATTGTCACAAAAGCCCAGTGGAATGTTGTTGTAGTTATTAAATACACTCAGAGCCATGTTCATTTTATGTGCAACAAAGTCTACTTATTCTTTTAATTGGCTACTAGGTGAGAAGATCTGAACTGTTACTTGGCCAAATTAAAGTTACTGTTAGAGGAAAACTGTAAACAATTTACTGGAGAGTGGAAAGATCTGCTAAGTAATGCAGTGTATCATAAAGCCTGCATCAATAAAACTGAAGATAAATTTGTCAGTAGACCTACTGTTAAATGATATGGCCATTTGTGAGCAAGTGCTGTCCTGTATGGTCCAGAAAACTCCTGGAAAATGATTTCTTGAAAAGACTGGGAACCCTGATAATGCACTAGAACTGACAACCCCTGACGTATAGGCCTTTTCCACCAAGAGTTAACCAGCTCTGTATGGAGCATTTCAACCAAAAATAAATTGGTTTGCAATCTGAAAAGTTGGTTCCCAGCTGAAAAAACAAAAAAACAAAATAGGTTGTCCTTGGGAACCAAACTACGCGTGTCATATTCTACAGGTCACCGTGCATTGTGGGCCCTCTGTTGATGACATCAGGTTACAATGGTTCCACTCAAAACTGGTGGAAACGCGGGCTGGTTTGTTTGGTAGCACCAAAGCTCCAAGAATCTCAAACGGAACTGGTTCAAGAAAAATAGCTGATTTGATGGGATGGAAAAACACTATAAGTGACATATTTTATGGATATTTCAAATTATATGCAACGCATTACAACAAGAGCAGAGAATCACTGACGAACTGTACAATGAGGAAAACAAGGCATTTGGATGAATTTTGAGCAGATTATTTCCTGTGCTTATTGCATCAGAGAGGAGTTTTCCTGATATTTTTATACAATTCTCTGTCTGCATTATGTATTTTTTATCATTTCTAACAATCATACATACTTAATAGGCTTCTTTTTTGTTTTATTAGCTTTTTGTGCCATTTGCTCTCTGGTTGTTTGAACTTCTCTAATGCAGGATGAGGCTGTTTATCACAGAGTGAAGGCTCTGTGAATATAGCTTGTGTTCTGCTCTTCAAAGCTTGGATCTTAAATAATAATTAAACCTTTAACAATATCATATAGTTATATGTTTTGGGTTTTTTTTTTACACTCCTTAAAATCAAGAAGGAGACGACCCCGGGGTTGGGAACAGACATGGTACAACATGGGAACAGAATGCTAAATACCTTTATTTTAAATGAAGCAGACAGGTGACCTCTGTAAGACATTGTGGTTTGGGCTACAGAGGTGGTACTATCAAACAGGATACATAAACTACCAAGTGAACAGGTTTTAAGAACTAAAACATCCTTAAATATATTTCTGTACAACTCTATGGTACATGAATTGAACTCGCCAATCTTTAAGACATAAATAAATAATTACATTACATTAAACTTTACTCGTACAATTAATCCGTTTCGATACGCTTTTCTACTTTTGTAGCGCGCTACAGACGAACCAAAGTACTTCAAGGATCAGTCAACTTCCTTGTTACTCATGTTTACCGGTACAGCGCCGGAGGCAGCAGCTAGCTAACACCCGACAGACGATTGGGTGCGAGTGTCTGTCAAACACCTTCCCTGGGCCACGGATACTTCCTGACTGAGAAGTTTACAGTTAACAGCCCAGGACAAAACTAAAAACCCCAACGTGTAGCTAAACGTACCAGTAATCTACTTGGATGCGTCAGGAAATGTTCCTACCAGATAGAGTTGTAAAGAGGAGAATCTTACCTCATAAAACGCTTGCACCATTTCCACCAACACCCACTGCTGTCCCGACGCCATGTTTATTTCCCTACTGCGACGTCATCAGCAATGCTGCGTTTAAGCTCCTCTGGAAAAACAGTTGACCATGAAAACCGTCCATAAAATACAATCCAAATGTGACCAAACGTTTCTCATTATTATTTTGAGAAAGTTTCTCAGTATTTGAGCTAGTAAGTCAAAATATTTAGGTTTTTTGAGATTCAAGTAAATATTTTACGTTTCTCATTATTTTGAGTTACTATATATTATTATTAGTCTCTCAATGTTGAGAGACTAATAATAATATATATTATATATAATATAAGTCATATGTATCATTACTAATTGCTTGAAACTTGCAAATAAAATACATAAGTAAATCAAAGTAAGTCAAAAATACGAGGGTGAAGATATGGAGGATCTAGTCTAATCTGATCTAGATCTAGAATTTGCAAATTATAATAAAAATCTATTCAATTATATTTCATTCTAAACGAAACATTTACAAATATGGATAATTAATCAACAAATGTATCTATTTTGGTTAATAATAAATAACTAGACAAAAGAACCAATAGCTATTTCCTTGTATGTAAAATAAATTCACAACTTACACAATATAATTTTAACAGACCAAAGGAATTATTTTTTGTTTGGAATTAACTGGATCCCCATTTATATTTAGTTATTTTTAAATAGCCATTCTACTATTGTTTCAACATTGTTCCTGCTTCTTCCTCAGTACCCCCCACAGAGCTGCTCTTGAGCAACCTACTCAGTGGCAGTTGTGAAAAAGTGGAACAGTGTGAGTGTGACGCAAGGTGTGGCTGAAAGAGCATTCATGCTCAGCAACCCTGTGTTAAATAAAATGTCATTGTGACTGAATGACTGTAGTAAAACTGTTTATTTCTGCAGGATTTTAAGGAAAATGTCATGGAAGTTAGGGGCAAGAACTCCCATAACCCAGTTTTAAAAAATAAGAGTCCCTCCACCCCCAAGTCTCTACAATGTCAGTTGTACTCAGTTAAGTATTCAATTATATTTCCTGCTAATTTTATTTTCCAACAACAAACTTTCCTCCCATTTCACAAGGCTCTCTTCCCCAACATTACATGTCCTTTGTGTCTGCTTAATGATTAATTTGATTTCGGTCTCAGTTATGTTTAATTATCAATCAGGTTATTAATAACACAAGCAATAGGATTATAATAATTGAAAGGGGTTCACCCTAGTTTTTTTTGTTTTTGCAGTTGTCCTGCTTGTGATGCCTTTTGGGGTAGATCAGCTGCTTTATACGCTGGGCACACACATGTCATGTTCTGGTGAATTTGGTGCGCTCATGTTTGTGCCTATAGGTAAATTGTAAAATCAGCAATAGTTTTGTTAATTGCTTTGTTTGACTTTGATGTGTGCTCTGGTTTAGCCAGGTGGTAGGTTCCAGTTAGGTAAGGCTGAAAAGGTAAAATGCCATTCATTGGAGTAGGGGGAGGAAGGAGTTAGCAGCTTGCTGCAAGTTTGCAACTTTGATTTTTTTTCTTGTTTTGCCTTAGCTTAATGTGGTTTTTTTGAAATTGTAACATCATCTGCCCTTTACAACGGGTGGCGGACCCCTTCACACTGCCATGAGTAAAGAATTCTGGTGAAATAGTAAATAGAAATAATATTTTTGTTGGCCTAGAAGTAGTCGTAGTAGTTCATACTTCATATGATTTAATTACTATTTTTTTAATTTTTCGTACAGAACCCAACAGTCAGAAATCAATGTTTCTTCTTGTTCCTACAGTGTGATGTTTGAATGATGTATGTGCAGAATCTGAAACTAGAAGTGGAAAATCTGACTTCAAGGGGCAGGGCGTACGAGCATGATTTGTGACATCATAGTAATAATAGTTTTGAAGTCAACCCTGGTCCAATATGCAACTTCTACAAGTGTGATGTAGAACCTTGAAGCCATCAGTGGTCATACAAAACACAAGAAAACAGGGACCATAGAAATAAATAAATAAAACAGATATCCCCGCAATGTAATGAAATAAGCAGTGTCTATAGATTGTCCACTACTTTTCACTGGCAATCCCATAATACAGATGTGACAACAATGTTCTTTTACTCAAGTATGCAAAGATGTGTCAATAATATAGTATTGTAATAGTAATAAACAATATAGTTAAACCAATTCAGCTTCTTGTGGAGAATTAAAGCAAAGACAGGCAGCTTATAAAAGCAAGGACACACCAAATATGTGTATTGAAACATTTATTATAAATATTCAGTTGACACTACAGCAGTTGTTATTGCTAGCAGACTTTAAAGCCATTACGCTTGGTTAACAAAACGATTAACTTACTCTTGACAGAATCTAATGATCCTCCACAGTGAAATTAACAGAAGTAGAAAAAAAGATGATTATGATTATGATTTAGTATCTCATAATTACGAGATAAATATCTCGTAATTATGAGATCCTTTCGTGCTATCATGTGATACATCTCCAATTTTTCCCGCAATGTTCTTCCATAGAAATGCTACACAAAACAAATACAAAATGTAACAGAAAATCCTATGTGGTATTTTGAAGGTAAATGTTCCAATTATATAATTACCAATTTATTTACCTATATCACTGAGCTTCACACACTTAAAAATAGCCTGTTGATCATACGCAACTGCCATTTCATGTAACTTAATTATTTATCTTTTTGTATTGCTGAAAAAAGGAAATGATTCACAGCTGCTGCACTCTTCACAAAAAATATTTGCTCAGTTTCTCATTATGATAAATGTTACAACAAGATTTGGTATGTAGTAATTGTTTTGTCATGGTGGCAGCGTCTGTAAGAACCAGGCTCATTCAAAGCTGTTTTGCTCATTTGTTCCAACTATTATTCATCAGTTCCTTTTCACAATCGGCAGTGGGTACCATATCAGTTAAAGCAAAAGGCTACAATGCACTGCATGGTAAGATGTGGTCCTGAGGCAGAAGTGTAAACGTTATAATAACTACAGCAGCAAGAAAAGGCTAATATAATGACAATTAATTACAAAAAAAGCATCCTTTGCTTAGCTCAACAATGTCCTTTGGAAGCTACTGTAACTGAACACAAAAAAGAATGTGAAATTGCACCACAGCTGAATGTAACATCAGACGACCTGATTCTACTCAAACCCGATCTTGAGTCTAGACCTCCAAGTGATTCCAAGTCTCACTGAAACCACTACAAGTATGTCCAGATGACCTAACATTCTGTAATCAATGTGCAACTACTGTCTTGCGAGAAGCTTCATTATTATAGAAATTGTCTGATTGTGCCTGCAACTTTAACAGGGACAGTATGCTTCAAATTAAGTGTTTTTCGGACAGCATCTGAAATCCCTCTACACTTTTCCAACATCATCATCATCAGAGTGCTGTGTCTGACAATTTTAGTAATGTAGTATGTAGATTTAAAGGTCCAGTGTGTGACATTTATTCACAGGTATATTTTCATTAGTGTATAATGACCTGAAAATAACAATTGTTGTGTTTCTGTTACCTTTTTATCTGCAGAGGGAGTGGGTGCTCTTCTACGGAGTCCG